TGTAAAAAATGAAGGTTTGAAGCCTTTGTTTGAAGCCCCGAGGCTTCAAACCTACTTCCACTGAATCTGTGAGGTAAGTTAAAGCTGACGTTGCAGAGAGAGAAATTTTGAAGTTCCGGTTTGAAGCCTCGGAGCTTCACGAGTATTTTCAGTGCTCTGGGAGTGGTAATAAATGACTTGCATGTATATTATGAGCAGTAAAAATAAGGAAACATATATCCACCCGAAATTTGAGAGGGATGCAGAGTGGAGAATATTTCAACTTTGAAGACTTTTTGTGCTAAAATACACTCCTTCATTCGGTCTGCCTTGGATATGCTACTATATACTTCTCCTTCCCAGTTTATTTATTCAGATTGACTTTTTTGAGTCAAACTGAACAAATGTTGAGATTCAATTAAATAAAAACTGTAATATATTTTAACATAAAAATGACTTTATTAAATTTATCGTATTGAGAACTTTCAAAATTGTATTTCATTATGCTACTATGCAATATAAATTGAAAAAAATTGGAGTTCAAAATTTATTCAGATTAACTCAAAAAATATTGGGATCACATAATATATACTTCGTACGTATGGTATAAAGTATGTATCTTACTAAGCGAAATTAATAAATGATTATAACAAAAAGAAAGTTTACTCTCGAACTCTTCGCAAATGACACGGTTTACCCTTGACTTTAAAAAGTACATCGTTTATCTTTGAACATTTAAAAATGTACCAAATGCTATTGAACAATTTAAAATGCTACATTGTACTCTTCACAAATTACACAATTTATCCATGAGCTTTAAAAAGTACGGTTTACCCTTTACTTTCGAAGTCTTCGCAATTTAGTGTAACTTTAATGTTCAGAGATAAACCGTGTAATTTTTAAAGAGTTTGGGGGTAAACGGTGTACTTTTTAAAGTTCAAGGGTAAACCCTGCAATTATATTTAATTTTAATTTTTTCTGAAATTTTTTAATTGTGTATCAATATTTTTATTGTGTCTTAATTTTTTTTAATGTATTTCTAAGTTGTCTCCCATTTCAAAACTGGGTTTGGATTTATGCTTCATATTCTCCATCAACACGGTTTCGTACAAGCTAAGCTAAGCTAGCCAGCTGCACTGCATCTAGTTTTGAAATGGCTTCTTTACTAAAAATATGTCTCAGTTTCTACAAATTTTAAGCCATGCTCTTTTTATTCCATCCGAAAAAAATAAGTCTTAATTTGTTTATTTCTGAATTTCAATTGATTATTTAATAAAAAAATAGTTTTTTTCACATCTTATTTCATACTCCCTCCGTCTCTGAGTTTTTGTCTACTTTTAATTTTTTCAGTCAAAATTGATAAATTTTGATTTTAAATTAATTAAAAATGATATTAGATATTGATACAAAAATAGTTTTATTAGATTTATTATATAAAATATTTTTAAAATATTATTTTATCTAATTAATATAAAATATATGTTTTATTCAATTATTAGTCAAAGGTTGAAAATAATGATCGGAAAAAGTCAAAACTGGACAAATACTCAGGGATGGAGATAGTAAAACTTTTGATGTAATTTTAAAATATTTTAATTATATCTTTTATTTATTTGAAAGTTTGTAAATAAAATAATTTTAAAAGAGGTGCGATTTTAAACGTTATTCAAAGTGAGACAATATTTTTTGAAACTAATCGAATAAAATATTTCTTTCTTTCTAGAAGCATCATCCACATAGTCTGAACTTGTCACCAAAAACAGTCTCCGTACATGCACGAACCGACATATAGCACCCTTCGGTTGGTACATTAAGAGAGTTTTAGAAAGAAAAAAAAGAGAGTTTTGAAAATGGATTTCAAGTTTTTATAAATGTGAAGAAAAACTTTAGTCGCCAGTGTTTCTATTATGAACCTAAAATCTACTGTATATATGTAAGTAATGTAACTATTACTCTCTCTTTCATAAAACATTATTCCGGTTTTTGTTTACTAGGTTTGACCGACTGTATTTTCAGTTTAGTTTATTTTATTGTAATATTGTAGGTGTACGATTAAAAAATAAAATTTATACATTTAAAAAGTACATCAAAAGTTATACAAAACAAGAGGTGACAATTCAAGACTATTATTTTATCAAATAGTTAATGAAAATATGTAAAGAAAGTGATTAAAATTTAATCGCGTGACTAATAATTATGAAGAACTTTTTAAGACAGGGGAGTAAGAATTAACCTAAGTATACACCCATGGGTATCTCATTTGTACTCCAAGCTAACACAGACACATGCATAAATGAGGTATTCTATATTGGTGTACCCTTTATGCCCAATTCAACTATTAAAAGGACAATTTTTAACGTCACTTTTCTTTGAATTCTTCATAAAATATGTTCTTTTTGAATTTTTAAAAGTAAACTGCTAGTCCCTACAATGTTATATAAATGGTGTATGATTGGTGCCCATATCTGATTTTTCAAGGTTTTACGTTTGAATATTCCACGTTTGATCCATGACTTAATCGATACAACATACAAAGATTAAGATATACTGAGTAAAAATAAAATTGTGTACTTGAAAATTATACAAGGGAGAAAACAATAATATAAGCTATAAAAAAATTAATGAAGATAACTTCACTTAAATAAAGAGGGTAAAATGACGATGACTTCACTTATATATTATGTGAAAACACGCTTGAAAATTTGACATGGACGACTAATCATGTGTCATTTTAAAAAATATAGAGACTAATAATGCAGTTTTAAAAATTAAAAAAAAATTCTCCGTACATATTTTCTGAAGAGTTCAAAGTAAAATAACATTGAAAACCCATTAAAATGGTCCATATATTTTTAGGTGTATTTTAGGTCAGATCTAAGAATTTAGCATGAATAAAATCATTGGAGTAATTAAAATATAGTCTTATGACTTTTTTGTATGCAGAAACACTTATATTGACTTTGTAAAACATCAATTGAATATCTAAGAATCCATTTAGTACACGAAATAGATGAAATTAAAATTGAATTGGGAGTTAAAATTCTATGGAATTAATTTGGATAGAACTGAAATCTTTAATTCAAATTTACTTTTGGCACAATCAATTCTAAATCCACATTTTTTGTGTTACCAAACAGCAGAATTAGAAATATTGTCTCTAATTTCATAATTTGAATTATGTATACCAAACAGATCCTAAGTATCTAAAACTAGAATTACTACGAGTATTTTATAACTCCTCCATCCCACAAAATCCTTCTCCTTTCCTTTTTCAGCCGTCCCAAAAAGCCCTTCTCTCTATAAAAAAGTCACTTTTATTCCTAATAATTCTTAACCTACCTATCACATCACAATTTTTCTTTATTAATCTACTCAGCACATCCTACTTTATCCATCACATCAAAGAATTTTTTTGAAAATTAACACCAAAATACACTCTCCTTAAAATTTTTAAAAGTCAAAATATGAAGTTTTTTGTAGGACTGAGGGAATATAATTTTCCGTAAAATACTCTACAAAGGTTTGAATGGTACGTAGAATCATTGCATTTAGATTCTACAAAATAAAAGTAAAGTTTTTGTGAAATATTATACTCCTTATACAGTGCTTTGTCTCAAGTAGTCAAATATAAAGTTAGTTTGATTTGTAGAACCATTGAATATTTCACACCTTGTAAAATATCTACTCAAATATCGTTTACTATATTTTTTCAATTGCGTCAAATATAACTACGGAGGACATTTTAGTAAATATGAAAGATATAAAAAAGATAGCATAATAATCAACATCTTGTGTGTATTAAATTTAGTTAAAAAGCAAAAAATGTTTAAAAACCTAGTTATACGGAGTACTTGACTATATCTAATATTTGTACTACTTAAAAATTAAAAATTCTCTATTATTTAATTTGAAAAATATAACTTTTTTATGAGAGGAAAAAGTGTTTTTTTATTTTAGTGAAACTGTGAGCATCTTCTTAATTTTGTTTGAATAGAAGTTGGTTCTTATAATTAACATATTTACAAAGTTACTACTTTAAAAAAATTAGAAAGTTTTTTTATATTCCATATTTTTCTTTAAAGAAAAAGTAATTTCTAAGAAATGATATATTTATAAAGTAGACTTTGACAAAATCTACTGTATTTAAATGGACAAACCGACATCTAAAGGGGTGTATTCAATCCAGACTCCGTAGGATTTTTTTGAATTTTAAAAGTCAATGGGTATTCAATTAGGATTTTGAAAAATCAATTAAATTTTGGAGGTATTCAATTGAGATTTTAAAAAATCTTTCTAAATCTAATGATATTGAAAAGTTGATAGATTTCTAAGGATTGTTAAAAAAATGAATTCTAATGGATTTTTGGTTTGAAGTATGAATAAATTATTTTTTTTTTGAAATCCAACCAAAGTCGTAGGCAAGAGTCAACGGGGAAAATCTTCTTCCCCATCAACGCTAGTTCTTCTCGATCTCCTTCCCCACCGGCGCTGGTTCTTCTGCAAATCGGATACAAGCCTTCAAGAGATAAAGTGATTCCATCAGGCACTCCCTCTTTCAGCACTCCAGATCTCACCGATTCTGAGGTCGTCGATTACGACAGCCGGCGGCAACAAATTATTTTATCAAATTAATACATCATACGGAGTATAATTTATAATCAAAGTTTGCCAATTTTAACTATAAAAAATTAAAATTAGACAAATACCATATGACGGAGATAGTAAGAGGTTGTTCTCTAGTTCTCCTTTGCCAAAAAAGCAACAAATTTTTCGGCGCAAAAGTAAAAGTAAAAATAGTTTCTATAAATAAATCGAAACATGCATATTACTCCCTTCATCTCTTTTTAATTATCCATTTGTTAATTATAGAATAAGATTATAGGAGTAGCATCTTTTTCCTAGCTAATTTTCTCTAATCAGTTCTTCATACATGCCACCCAGGGCCGGTCCCGAAAAATGAAAAAATCAAATTGACCCGGTCCAAAATTTACATTTGGGGCCCTATTTTATTTTTTTAGGATACTTATGCTTTAAAATTATTAACAAATTTATAAATATGGGACCCTAAAATTTTAAGGGCCCTGTGCGGTTGGCCACTTTGCACACCCTCCGGGCTACCCATGATGCCACCCCTCTTTATGCATTACACAATGCACAGACTGTTGAATATAAATTAGAGAACAAAATTTCTCTCTTCTGGGGATTGGAACAAATAGTCAACATATGAAAATCACCTTCCTTTGGAGATACTTTTTCTCCTCTTAATAAGTCCATACATTAAAGTGATATAAGTAGACTTCTGTACAAAATCACCTCTTTTGGTAAGCTGTTCAAAGATACGCATTGCATCCTTATATCTCCCTTGAGCACAGAGCTCATTTATCTCTTCCGACTCGGCAACCTGTTGACCTTTGACTGCGTCTTCCCCAACTGATTCTCCAGATGACATTCTCATCTCTTTATATTTGGACACGAAATCTTCTGCTTCCCTTGCCCTGCCACTCTCACTCAGTGCTTTGACAATGGCATTGCAGGTGTAAGTATCTGGCCCTAGTTTCTTAGCTTCCATCTCAGAAGCAAACACAAGCGCGTCATCTAGTCTCCCATCCTTACATAGGGCTGTTATGAGTGTGTTGTAGGTCACGGCGTCGAGCTGTTTCCCTTTGTCAAGCCATGTGTTGAAGAGGTTAATGGCTTTTTCGATCATCCCTTCCCTGCAAAGTCCCATAAGGAGAATGTTGCATGTATAGGTGTCCGGTTTGAACGAATCCTCCACCATTTTGTTGCTAAACTGAAAGGCTCTCTTCATATTCCCTTCCCAACAGTACCCGTGGATGATCGTGTTGTATGTGATCTCATCTGGAACCAAACCGTTGTCCAAAAGTTCATTGAATTTAGAGATGGCTTCTGCTGTTTTACCTGATTTGCATAGGCCCGCGATTAGAGAGTTATATGTAACTAGACTGGGAAAGATCTCTTTTTCTTTCATCTCATCCCAAAGCTTGAGAGCTCCTTCTACATTCCCGTTCTTGAAATAGGCGACGATCAGACAGCCATAGCTTACTTCGTCAATGATATATCCACATTTAGTGGCATTCGCAAGCAACTCATACGCCTCGTCGAGCTTCTTTTCTTGACAAAGCGTGTTCAAGACTGTGTTTAGTGTAAAGGTCTCCATTTTCAAACCCTTTTCTCCCATCTTATTGATTATCTTGAAAGCCTCGGCAAGATCTCCCCTTTTACAGTATGCACCAATGAGAGTATTGTATGAAACACAGTCTGGGCAAAATCCACTCTTCTCCATCCTATGAACAGTGTCTATGGCATCATTTAGTCTCCCTTCCTTGCAATACCATTTGATCAATATATTATAGCTAACTTCGTTAAGCTTCATCCCATTGCTATTCATCTCTTCGAGCAAACCAAAGGCCTCAGAACTCTTTCCACCTTCAAAGCAACCGTTAATCAACGTGTTATAAGTTACCACATCAGGTAACAACTTCAAGCCAGCCATTTCATCGCGAAGCCGAAAAGCCTCTTCAATCTTTCCTGAATTACAGAGACCGTTAATCAGCATGTTATAGGTCCAGACATCGGGAAGTGTATCGCTGCTCCTCATCAACTCAATGACCTTAACAGCTTCCTTCAAACACCCTGCTCTACAATAACCACCAACTAAAATGTTGAAAGTGTTCTTATTTGGGAAGATGGCCTTGTCCTTCATATTCAGTAGCACATCACGAACCTCTCTTAATCTGCCCTTCTTGCACAATGCGTCTAATACCGTATTATAGCTCACATTATCTGGACTGCACCCATATTCCTCCATCTTATCCAGCAATCTAATTGCATCGTTGCATTTATTCTCTACACAATGCCCGTTGATCAAGATGTTAAAAGTCATTACATTCGGAGCTAAACCTAGCTTAAGTGCATCACTAAAAATTTCTTTGCAAAGGTGTACAGAGTGGGCAGAAGGATACTTCACCAGCGAGTTGAGGAGAGTGTTGAGAGTGAGCACCTTAGGGCACAGCCCGTGTCGCTTCATTTTCTTGAAAAGCTGAAGGGCAAGGTGTGGGCGGCGGCACTGGCAGTAAGCCCCGATGGTCGTGTCCAATAGAGCCCGCGAAGGCTTTGGAAGCGAGTGATTCGGGTGGAGAAGGCTGCGGTGGAGCTCATTGGTGGGGTGATCGGAGGGGATGAAATTGAGGAGGAGGGATTTGGCATCAGAGAACTTATTGTGGGAGACAAGTGAGGTGAGGAGATAGAGAAGAGAGGGGAGAGGGTTTGCGGAGAAGGAGGGGACATTGGATTGGGCCCACATGTAGAAGAAGAGGAGAATGTTTGGGGAGGAAGAGAGGTTTTTAGAAGAGAAGATGGAGTGGATGACCGGCGCGGTGAGGTAGGGAACATACGGGGTGAGCAATCCATGGAGGAGAGGATCATGACGTTTGGAGGAGGAGCCTACAAGCAGAGTGACAATTGATTGAATCACATCGTTGGCGGGGGTTGATAAAGATTTTGACGAGATTGAGCTCATTGATTTCCCTCCTCGTCTGGTAAGGGTCACGAGTCCTCCTCTTAAGGAAGGAAGACAAAGATACCTGCTATCTGTTACCGCTGCAATGCCTATATCATCAGAACATGGATTCGCTTAGGGACAAGTCTTTCAGCTCAAACTCGCCAATTCTTTCACAAATCTGGAAACCAAATCCGAAACTTATATAATAGAGCTATGGATTATTCTCCTTAGATTGCCCTAAAAGATTACTCCCGAAACCCAAGCATCCATTCCCTTTGCTTAGATTGCCTTACATCTTAAAGACTTTCCCCTAAGTTAGGGATTCTATGCCTGCTGTTTTGCAGAAGATTTAGCCTCAAAATAACCCATAAATCTGCATCAAATCACGAGCTCTCAAAATTTCTTAACCAAAACAAATAAACATTCGCATACGAGACCTTCTGTCCAGATTTAGTTGCCTGCATTTCCAACAAATTTCAAAATACGTTTGAAAATCATTGATTTCAACAACGCAAATGTGTAATCTAGAAGAAATTTTAGTTGAGTAATCATAAATTCTCCACTAAAATGAGAAAGGGTGCAGCTAAAATCAAAGAGCATATTCCCCAACGTTTCTGCTCAAAAATGGAAACTAAACAAATCCGGGGCGAATATGAAGGAATTAATGGAATAATGAGCTAACCTAAGTTGCGGAAGAGTTGAATCCATGATAAGCTTATCGGAATCCCCCTTTTGAACTGAAGATGGTTCTGAATCTCCCTTAGGGTTTTGGTGCCGCTGCAGATTGGCCGATAGAGTGAGTAGTGATAAGTGTAGCAGAGAGAGATGAACGGGGCAGGGCCACACTTTGTTAAACATGTCTTAGAAGTTAGAACGCTTTGATGTTTCCTGGATTGTAAGGTTTGATGTTCCCAAGAAAATGAAAAGACTTGAAAAATGTTGAATAAAACAATTTGTTGAAAAAATTACTCAATTAAATGAATATTTAAATTATTATATAAAGAATAATTTTGGATACAAAAATTTATTTTTTCGTGTTTGAAGTGTTATGTTATAAACTTGGATATACTACTTCAAGTCTTGTTGGAATAAACTAAAAGAACTTGCAAAAAGTTGAATGTTAATTTTTTCAAATAAAAATGAACAAAGCCAATGTCATTTTTTTAACATGTATAGTATATCAGTCATTTTAGATTGTCATCTCCAAATTTTCCTTCCTACAATTTACTTTTACGTTTTTATGTTTCTGTTTATGAAATTTGACCGACTTTATTTTTAATTTAATTTATTTGATTGTAGGCATAAAATTTAAAAAAATTATATATTTAAAAATTACATCAAAAATTATATAAAACAAGAGCTGACAACACAATACGGAGTATTATTTTATTAAATAATTAAAAAAAATAATTAAAATTTGATAGTAAAAAGGGAGTACCATGTATGAAACCCGCGCAGACTACATATGAAAATAGAGCCCTTCACTGAACTGCAATACTGCACTAACGTCCCATTCCAGAATCTGCAGCCGTTCCAAATCTGCAATTCGAAATTATTATAGCGAATCAATACTTTCCTTAACCGAACGCTTATAGATTCATCCCCAATTTCACGGACAGAGCGGATCTTTCCTCTTCAACATTCGAAAAAGCTTTCATTTTGCTCATCAATGGAGGCGGAAGAGAGGAAGAAGATAACGAGTTTCAGTTACAGCGTTGAGGACGACGACGGGTTGAAGCTGATCGACATTTCTTCGGAGGACGATTTCCTCATCGCTTCCCCTCTCTTCGAATCTCTCGAAGATCTTCGTCTCTCAGGTGCGTGATTATCCGCTTTAATTTCTTCTCCGTTTCTTGATTCACGATTGATGATGTCTGTGTGAAACCCAGGTCTCAGAATCATTTTGGGTTTTCTCCGTTTTGAAGAAAGATTAATTCTTTAACATCGCTTCATATCCAATTCGTTTGAGATTTCGGAAATTTCGATTCTTTTTGTATAAAGAATGTGAATTCAAGAAGCAACCATTTCAAGAATCCTGTTAATTGCTGGTTCTGTAGTTTCTTGATTTCTGGTGGCTATATTTTGTCAATTTGCAGTGACGTGGGATAAAAATGGTGAGAACGATTGTTTCAGATTCTCAGGCGTTGGAAACTCTTTTTGCAATGAATTGCCCCAATCTGGAAGGCCTAGTTTCTTGCGCAGAAGCTTGGCTTGGGACAACGCCTTCTCTACCAGTTCTGGTACACTACTGTCACAGATTTATATCATCCCAGTTCTTTTTTAAATGACAAAATTGTCCAAAAAAAGTATATACTGTAAATGAATCTTTGGGTGTGTTATTATATGGGAAATTGCAGGTGTATTAGATCCTGATGAGCTCTTATTCATAAACAAAGGAGTATGTCCAAAGCCTGAATCTAAACAAAATGTGCCTCCAAGAACTGTCAATGGGAATATGGTAGGAACAAGGCTTATGGTGTCCCTCTGAAATGATTTGTATTTCTAAAAAGTGTTGTTTTATTTTTGGGGTTTTTTCCCTCTTTCAGAACAAGATTAAAACGGTTTCTAAGAGGGATCAGCATGGCGATATTCAAGCATCATCAGAAGATAAAACTAACAAAAAGAAAGTCCCTTTGCCAGTACAAAGCAAATATGCTTTTGGGAGTTCTTGCAGTTCATCTCGCTTCTCTTCATCAACTTCAACCATTTTTTCTTCGGATTCTTCATTTTCATCCAAAGATTCAATCCCTTACCTCAGGCGTTCTTCCTCCACAAGAACCCTTTCGAAAACCAAACCTGGATCAAAGAAAAATACACTCCCTCCATCCAATCAGTTTCCTGAGGTTCCTGATTCTTCTCAAGCTTTTGGTATTGTAATGGATGGAACTCCAAAAAAAGATATTGTTACTTCTCAGGAATCTGCCGAAATACCCATTTCTGGGAACTCGAAACCTTCATGTCTGCGTCTTCCTTCTCCAAAGATCGGTTTCTTTGACGAGGTTCGTCTCGTTCTTTAAGTCTTGTAAAAGCTTCTGTCTTTGATGATGTTTTTATACTAATCAGTGTCATAATCCACTGCAGGTGGCTCCAAAAGCAAGAGGATTCTTCAAGTTTCAGATAGGAAAAGCAAGCAAATCTTCCAAAGAAGATGTCGGAAGAACCCCTAGTGGGAGCGGGAAGCAGAAGCTCAAAGCTTCAACTCCCCAGCTGCCAAGAAGTGCTCCACCTTTCAGACTCACAGCTTCCTCATTGTTTTCTGCTGATAAATCCTCCGAGATGGATCGTGAAACGTTTTGCAAGTCAAGAAAAGTGGGGTCCGGGGAACGCGAGAGGAGAAGCGTTTGGATTAACCATGCTCCAAACGTGAATATGAAAGGAGAGCAGAGGAAGGGAAGAAAGGAAAGAGAAGAAAGGAGGAACAAAAGAGGAGGAGAATCATCAAGCATCAGGGAGAAGAACGGAGCGAACGATTTAAGCAGGCGGTTCAAGATGATGGGTTTGGGAGAAGACGAAGAAGAAACTGCAACAAGAACTCCACTTGCTGAGAAAACAGCTGCAAGTCACAGCAATGGAAACGTGACAGAACCCAAGAAGGAAAAGATGGTGGAGAAGAAGTCTCCAGTTTTTCTTTTACCTTCTTCTCACAAAGAGAACATCTGATTTGCATCCATAAACATATCAGAATATACAGTTTCTTTTCTTGCATCACTGGATATATACATTAAACTCATCATTTACGGAGCAAACAATAATCATCAAGAAGCTCCACATACTATATAAAGTTTCCATTATTTACTTTAGTTCCTATTTCAATCTTGAAATGCATGTATATAATGCACTGACAAACAGAACATCTGATTTGCATCCATAAAGATATCAATGTATACAGTTCCTTTGGTTTCTGATATGCAAGCATATATCACAGGATGTATATAAATCAAACCCATCATTTATAATCATCAAGAAACTCCACATACTATATAAAGTTTCAATTTTTACTTGCTTCAGTTCATATTTCAATCTTGAAATGCATAGCACATTGATGGGTAAATTGAGACTGGCCCCAATATGAATATGAATCACATCATTCATTATATATGCATTCTATGTGGATGCATAATGCATGTTCTTTACATGTCCATATATATGTATGTAGTGCAATAAATTAAAGATTGAAAGAGGAGGGAAAATATAATTAATGACACTCTCTAGATACACATTGTAATATTACATTATTACAAGTTTTTTTTTTTTGCAGAGAGAAAGAAAGAAAGAAAGAAAATATTTGCTACATACAACAAGAATTAGAAACAGGGTAGCAGGGGATGGATATGATATGATGATGATGATGAAGATGGATGGATGGTGATGATGGATGATGCTAGCTAGCCAACCAAGACATAAATGGCGTAGATGATGCCCGGTATGTAACCCAGAAAGGTGAGTAACAAATCAATCCAGAACTCCACCTGCATATAATATGCATCCATCCCAATAATTCAACATGTATAAATTAATTAATCAAATCAAACACACACCCATCATATACATCATCATCATCATCATCATCATACATATGAATATATGATGATGATCACAGATAGATGATATATTGATTTTATTTTTATAAAAAAAACTTACTCCGCAGCCATATCGAAGGAAGACACCAACAGGCGGTAGCAGAATCGCTAGTATGATTTCCAAAAACGTTTCTGATCCCATTTGTGTTTTGTTTTTTAAATTTCTTAATCCCCACACACACGCGTGATTAATCAACTACCACTGCAAAGAAACGTCTGTGGAAATCTAAGATGATGACAGTTTTTTCTTCAATTCTTTAATTATTATTATTATTACTGTTTATAGGTTTTAATAATCCAAAATGATATGAATATATGAATATAATAGACACATAGAGGAAGATGAAGAAGATGTGATGATGAAGATCAGATCTTATTAATGCATGTCCCTTTCGTCGCCACCGCTCGTAACCGCCAGATGTGCTGCAAGGAAAGCGACACGTGGAAGGATCGGAACACGTGGCACCCTCAGGAAGTTTTAAAAAGACTGGACTCGGTAACCGAACTTTCTGGTCCCGAAAAAAAGCCCATATTTTTTCATGGGCCGCAAGCCCACAAACCAGTTTCGGCCCGTTTTCATCATCCCAAAATACCTTCTTTCGCTGCGCTCCCACGGAATAGAGACGTGTCTTATCTCACCCTCCGTCCCGTTCAATTTATTTTTTCAGGCTTATTACTTATTCATATTAAAATGAGATGAGATCAAGTCCAATCAGATTAGATAAGATCAAATTAGATCATAAATAAATGCAAGGCTCCATTTGGTACATGAAATTCAAACTATTGAAGTGGAATTGAGGATTACAATTCTAATTTTGCTGTTTGGTAGCACAAAAATATGTTGCTTTGGATTTGATAGTGGCAAAAATAAATTGAAGTTGGAGAATTTAATTACATCCAAATTAATTTTATAAAATTTCAACTCTCAATTTATTTCCAATTCTGTTTATTCCATATACCAATTCAATTAGATCATAAATATTACTATAAGGGATTTACTACCTTTGGATATGGAGGGGCATGGATGCCCCTTAACTCAATTGCTGCCATATGGATGGCTAATTACGCGGATTAAAAAATAATTTCATTAATTGCTGCCCCTCAACTCAAATGCTGCCCCTCAACTCAATTGATGTCCGTTAATTAATTGATTGTAAAATCATTAATGTTAATTTACTTCTTTTTATGGAGTATTAATTTTTGAGTACTGTGATTTTTTTAATATTTTTTTAGAAACAATTATATGAATACTTCAAAAAAAAATTGTGATTGTACATTAATACTCCAAAATTTAACCAATGAATCCCAAAAATTCTACTAAATTTGTTTATGAGTATTTATCTAGTTTTGACTTTTCTTGATCAAAATTGGTAAACTTTGACGATTATTAAAAGAGTATTAGATATTGATACAAAAATAATTTTATTAGATTTATTTTATAATCTATTTTCAAAATATTATTTTATCTTATTAATATTTCATATATATTTATTTAATTTTAGGTGAAAGGTTTAAAATAGTTAGCTGCAAAAGTTAGAACTTGACAAATAGTCAGGGACAGAAGTAGTACATATTCACATTTTTATCCTGCCGCTGCGAATTGAACTACATACGTGATATTTAATTAAAATGCTAATTAGACATTTAATAAGTATGAGTTGGAAACTAAATACACATGAAATATTACATCTGTCTCTAAGTATTTGTTCAATTTTTACTTTTTTCAATTAACATTTAAAATCTCATGTATGTAGTATTTAGCTGAGTTTATAGCCACAAGTTAACATTGTAACACGTAGAATTTTCAGGAGTTGTAGGGTAATTTATTAAATTTTGGTGTACTAACGTACACTTAGGAATTTTTTGGATTATTCATGTAAATATTTCCAAGAAAATTTACTTGCTTCGTCCATTTTTATATTCTCATTTTGAACAGTGTGCAAAATCTTATCTTTTTTAAATTACTTTAATCGCAAATTTTTATATAAAAAAGTAACATCGTGCAAAACTACATCAAAAGTTTAACAAAATAAGATGTGACATAAATATTTTATCTTATCAAATGATAAATGAAAATATTCAAACAAATATTTCTTGCATTCCAGTGTATTTGTCTATTTTGACTTTTTGGAGTCAAACATGATGAACTTTGAGATTTATATAAACAAAAATTTAATGTATATTTGTTACGGAACCAATTCAACTAAAAGCTCAAGCTTGAGGTTGTGGCCCATAAATAATTTTATAAACTCTAACACACCCTCACGTACATTTTTGAGTCTTGCATGTGAAACTTTAATTTTTTTAAAATTAGGTAGCGGTGAGTTTCAAACTTGTGACCTCTTAGTCATTAAGGCTTTGACACGATGTCAGGGAATCAATTCAACCAAAAGCTTAAGTTTGTGGTTGTAGCCCAGAAATGATATTATACTCCCTCCGTCCTAGAAATGACTTATTTCATTATGGTAATATACAATATAAATTGAGAGTAATTGAAGTTCAAAGTTCGTTCAGCTTGACTCGAAAAAGTTAAACTGGAGAAATACACTGGGACGGGGATAGTATAATCTAATAGTATTAGTATAAAAATGATTTTTTTTAGATTTATTTTAAGGAGAACTTTCAAAATTTTACTTAATTATACTAATATGCAAAACAAATTAAGAACAATTCAAACTTAAAGTTTATCAAATTTCACTCAAAAAAATTAAACTGAAAAAATACACAGGAACTAAGATAATACTCCGTATAAGTTATTAAAAAATGAATTGAGTGAATAACTTTTTAACCGGTAAAATAATACTCCGTACTCCATAAAAGAGAAGTAACTTAAAATTAAGTGGAGAGAGGACCATTTTGCAATTTCTCAAAGCTAGAATGATATGAAATGCTTTATCAATCCACGTAGCTAGCAATCCACATGGCGCAAATTGGGATTCAATCAATCAAATCAGGTTAGATAAAATCAGATCTAATTAGATCAGATCATATTTAATTAAATTTTTAAATATCTTATCTGATCAAATTGGGTGAACGGAACACGGGCCCAATGCTCATGGGCTAGACTTCAACTTTTTTTTAATTATAAATTTCCAAATTTAACTCCAGAATACAAATTTAAAACATTTCATATCTATTACGGACCTGTTTGGATTCAGCTTTAGAGATTAGCGTTAGTGTTTTGGATACAATTTTAACAGTGCAGATTACTTTGAAAATGCTAACGCTAAACGTTGCCCGTAGATAGGTTTTTCAAAACGCTAACGCTAATCTCTAAAGTTATTCCCAAACAGGCCCTACATTAAGTTATTTGTTCATCTATTATTTTTTCTCAATCTATTAAAACACAAAAAGTTATCGCCCATATTAACGTTCGAACTTGTGTCCCCCTATTTAGAAAATTTACAATGATGCCAATGGATAACAGAGTCTTAGACAATATTGATATACAAAGTATAAAAATTTTCCGAACTTGCAGATAAAAATTTAAGCTCTTGATATGTTGATTGTTTAATATGTTATCAAAAATTTATTGACCAAGAAGTCACAAATTAGGTTGTTAAGATCCATCACTGATTAGAGATTGGTTAGGAGATTATAATAGAGGATCAATTTTATTTTGGGTCCGTTTGGTATACGGAATTGGTGGAATTGGAATTGAATTGGGATTCCATGAGATTCAATTCCATGAAATTGAATTCACCAACTTCAATTCATTTTTTGCACTATCAATTCCAAACCCACATAATATTTGTGCTACCAAACATCAAAATTGGAATTAGAGTCCTCAATTCCAATTTCATAATTTGAATTCCTTGTACCAAACTGGGCCTTTGACTTCAAAAGAAAATGCCAGTTTTGATTATTTGTAGACAAGAGAGAGGAATGGATCTAATTAGCAAATGCCTAATCTATAAGGGCAATTAGAATGAATGGATCTTCATAAGATTCTTTTATTCCTTTTTTTCAATATAATAAAATTTTGAATAATGAATATTAAAATAAACAATACAGAACAATTAAAAAATACTCCGTATTTATATAATGGGTAAAATAAGAAGAGCCACTCCAGATCTGGTAAAAATAACGTTGTTCTGAGCAGCCCATCCTCGATTTCTCTTCTCCTCCTTGACAATTCTGTTATTTGCATTTTGCTCCCCAATAAAAATGACTAATTGCCCTTCACCACCATCCTCACACCTCCTCCCACATTGCCAACTGTTCAGACAACCAGGCAAATGTTGTACTTGGATTAGTATTATACGGAGTATAGTACTCCCACATAAAATTTTTAATTGTTCCAAAA